GCCTGGCTGCCATGTCCTGAAAAGCAGCCACAGCGGCAGCATCAGCCACCACCACCACAAACTATTTTTATTCTATTTTTGTTTTCTCGGTCTTGACACCTGCTTCATGAGTTTCTCCCTTGCGCGGGCAGAGCGCTGGAATAATTGTTATTTTTGCTTTTCGCTGCGCATTAACTACTTTGTTTAAGCGTTGGGAGCTAAATGGGACATCGACAACGATGATGACCGTGGCTGACCAATCAATCGGAATCGCAGGAATTGACCCCTCCCCCTGATTCAGAGCAACCAGGGAATATTGATTTTGGTGAAAACCAGAAAATAATAACAAGGGCAACGCGTTTTGAAGGCGACAGGGTCTGTTTGACTAGTCAAAGGGGCAGGGGGGATAATATTTCATTATTTCGCTCTGAATTTCCGCTTCCAAGTCTGTCTCTTCCATGAACGAGGGTTGATACTCTACCTACAGATCACCCAAATCAGAAGCATACTCGATTTCTATTGTTGTTTCTTCCGGGAGAATTGAGATAGGCGGGAAAGCGAAAGCGAATGACAAGATCATAGCAGACCTAGCAGTGCCGGTTGGCTACCCCCCCGCAGCACCAAAGCATGCACGTTCTAGCAGTGACACAACAACAATGTGCATTATTTGGTGTTGCAGAGCGCGAAGCTAAGATAGAAGCAGAGTAAGGAGGGGCGAATGGTGTGGTACACGCTCGAGATAGGTATATTGACGAGCCTCCGTGAAGGGCGAAAGAAAAGAAACAATTCGGATTGCGACCAGAATGGAATGCACTCACCACTCGCCTAGTCAACAGGCAATATGACGGGAATGGACGCAATATATTGAGTTTTATGATGCTTGGAGTCGCGATGTGGATCAGTAACTGTACAAGGCGACAATGACGATCATCCGCTAAATGAGTGAAGAAGCCGATCGCGATGGCGGTTACGGAAAATTTGCAAGGGGCGGAAAGAAATCATCTCCCCGTTGGTATGGTATGCCGTGGTATGCCTCACACCTGGCATGTCTTTGAAGGATCTGCCATCATTTGAATTCCCAATAATTGGAATAAAACCACCTACTTAGGTATGTACTCCAACACCAATGACGCCTAGTGGGGCCGAGTATCTATAGAACTGGGAAATATACAGATGCACAAAAGGGGAAGAGAGAGGGAGAGGTAACTACATATTGTTTTTGTATGTGTGTGCATGTGTAACTAAGGTGGTGGAGAGAGGCTCAAGTTCTCCAGTCCGTAGTCCGTAGTAGAATAGGAATATGATTTTACTCAATTCATCCTGAGCAAGAACTACTGCGCGCGGGATATTTATTTGACGAAGTCTTGGCGCGGCTCCTAGGAAGCCTGGAACATCAGTCTCCACGTATTGTGCACGAAGACGATTTTATATTATTGGGATCATAGTATATAAATTCCCCAGAGTTAATATCCATGGATGTTAGCCGGCCAAATGCCTAATACCTAGTGACCGTCCCTCAGCGGAATCTCGACTGTCTTTCTGGCACCATCTCTGTAAAAATGAGCTCAGTCGAGAAAAACTTCCACCACCCCTATAGCCCCTATGATATCCAGAGCCAGTTCATGCAAGCATTGTACGACTGTATTGAGGAAGCCAAAGTTGGTATTTTTGAGTCGCCCACAGGTAATGTGCTTTGCCCTTAATCTAAGACAGGTTGAATAATTCGTCTGATAAATCTCTAGGTACTGTACGTTTATGCCCACCTCCCCAGCTGACAGTACAGTATTGCCAATGAGCATGCATGAAGTCACCATGGGCTAGGGTCTCTTTTAATATTTAGGAATGCTGTATATGTGTTCTTTCAATGTTGTGTCTCTTTACATTCTATCGAGTGTTGGTTAAGGCAGAATTATCTAAATGTCGCTGCAAGAACTGAGACCGTGCTCAGAACACACATATTTCAACCATCTAACGCAGTAGATTACTGTAGGGCAAATCACTCAGCTTAATATGTGGCTCCTTAACGTGGCTTCGCGATCATAAACGCGCAGTGTTCCTCAATACAATTGACCAGGCACCCTGTCAGCCATACCCACCCTGCTAAATATGGGGCAATGAAGCTAATGTTCTGTGACATTAGCCGATGGGGAACCGGAATGGATGTTAGAACATTCACGGCGGGAGAAAGCAAGATCTGCGAGGGAGAAGAGAAAGCAATTGGAAGACCGTTTGGCTAAAGTCCGCGCAGAGGAAGAACGGCAACGAAAGCAGTTTGAGGACGGCAAGTATCCCTCCAAAAGACAGGTAAGTTAATATCCCACTAATCGCAAATATCACTATTCCTAATTATTGCCTATACAGAGATTGACAGCGGAAAACACTCGTTCTGGACAAGATGATGAAAGCCAATTCGAACTGGAGGACTACTATAGCGACGACGAGGAGCGAGCGGCTGTGGATACAGCTTCGAGAAGTGACAGCATTTTCTCCGCTGATACACTTGCTTTACTCGAGAAGCTGAGCGGGGACCCTGTTAGTAGGAGTGCCGACTGCGAACCGGATGATGAAATTCAGGTATTCTACTGCTCGAGGACACATTCCCAGCTAACTCAATTCGCCCACGAGCTGCGGCGAGTAAAGCTACCTCCAAGTGTTCCTCCCGAAGTGGATGACCATGATGCAACTGCAGATAGTGCGTCCCACCCAGATGATACCTTAGAAGAGAGCATGAAACATCTCTCTCTAGGATCGAGAAAGACACTCTGTATCAATCCGAAGGTACGAGCGCTTGGTAACTCAACGGCCATCAACGAACGCTGCCTAGAGATACAGCGTCCTGAAACACTAGCGGAGCAGAGATGCCAATTTGTCCTCAATAAGGAGAATGAAACGCTTGTCAACGATTTTCGCGACCACACACTGGCAAAGGTGCGGGATATCGAGGACATTGGCAAGATAGGCTCCAAAATTGGAGTATGTCCGTACTATGCTTCGCGGTCCATAATCAAGTATAGCGAGGTATGTGTTGCTCCCAAAAACAATATCCCTTCCCTGCTGGATTAACAATATCACATAGATCGTCACATTACCATATCCCCTTCTCCTCCAAAGATCAGCGAGGGAAGCATTAAACATTTCCTTAAAAAACCACGTTGTAATCATCGATGAAGCGCACAATCTCATGGACGCTATTTCCAATATACATTCAATGTCACTGTCACTAACCCAAGTTCAATTGGCCATTTACCAGCTCACCACATACGCTCGGAAGTATAAAACCCGCTTGAGTGGGCGCAACAGGGTGTATGTGACCCAGGTGATTCGGCTTGTAAATTCCATTTCTGATTATCTGAAGACTGTTCTGGAAAGAAAGCAGCCTACAGAGGGCGTCCTGCAACCGTCTGACATCATGACGGGGAAAGGCGTTGATCAAATAAACCCACACAAGCTATCACGGTATCTGCATGAAAGCAGACTCGCGAGGAAAGTCGACGGCTTTATTGAGAAGTCTTCCATGGAGTCGCAAGCGACGACGGATAAAAAGGTTACTCAACTTTCAGTCCCTGTTCTATTTCAGGTGCAAAGTTTCTTAATCTCATTGATGAACCCGTCATCGGAAGGGAAACTCTTTTACGAAATTAGCCAAAACGATGTCCTTTTGAAATACATGCTATTGGACCCCACCAACCACTTCCGGGAAATCGTGGAGGATGCAAGAGCGGTGATTCTTGCAGGAGGTACAATGTCACCTGTATGTTAATTCTCTATCCCTGGGCGAGAAAGATGTGTGCTGAGCTGACAGCCCTTTATTTTGTAGATGGATGATTACGTAGAACATTTGTTCCCGTATTTGAATGCGGATCGACTCAAAACATTTAGCTATGGCCATGTTATACCGCCTGATAATCTAACCGCCATTCCGGTGAGCAAGGGGGCTTTCAATACCGAGTTTGACTTCACCTATGGAAAACGAAACGACGAGAACATGGTATGCTGAAGAGCACTCTCTTATGTACCTCCGTCCTACATCATCAATGGAACATTTTGCTAATTGTTGGTCGGAAATAGATAATTGATCTTGGCAGGACCATCGCAGCGCTTTGCCGTGTTATCCCAGATGGTGTCGTGGTTTTCTTTCCCAGCTACGACTACTTGAACCAAGTATTGGTAATCTGGAAGAAGCAAGCCCCAAATACCCGATCTAACATCATCGATTCGATCGAAAAATCCAAAGTTGTGTTCCACGAGTCCCAGGACAAAACTACAAATATCGACGGACTACTTCAAGATTATTCCAGCGCAATTAATGGCGGATCCCGCGGTGGCGCGTTGCTCCTGTCAGTCATGGGTGGGAAGTTGTCTGAAGGAATCAATTTTTCCGATAAGCTGGGCAGGGGAGTGATTGTCGTTGGGCTGCCGTTCCCCAACATTCGAAGCGCGGTATGGCAAGCAAAAATCCAGTACGTTGAGCACAAAGCCTATGAGTCGGCTTCGCCGCTGTCATCATCGTTAGATCAGGATCGTAAGGGCCAGGGGTTTTCGGAAGAGAGCCGCAAATTAAAGGCGAAAGCTGCTGGGAGAGTTTTCTACGAGAATGCTTGCATGAGGACTGTAAATCAATGCATTGGTCGGGCGATCAGGCACCAGGGTGATTACGCGGCGATCCTGATGATGGATAGACGCTATGGCAGTCCGCGTATACAGAGCAAGCTGCCAAATTGGATTCGACAGAACCTGGCGGCAGGGACGTCGGAGCAGCCAGTCGAGCGGACAATCGGGGATATTTCTGGATTTTTTCGAAGGAAGCGAGAATTGAATATAAAATACGGCTGAGGAATAGAAAATGTAGAAGTCATGAAATATAAAGCTTCTTAGTTTAATCTATTAGCATGTGAATTTGTTTTCATCTCGACCTTAGGGAGTGCAAGTATGGAGAAAGATCTTATCTGATCTGAAGATAATGTCACATGAATCTTTCGTTCGAATGTGGAAATTCCACTAAGAGAAAATAGGGCTGGGCCCTAACATTTCCCAAACAAGCCAAAACCCTGCCTGGCACACATTAAGCGAGAGCAGCATGGAGACAGCAAGAGAGTCGATCTGAGCCTGCAACAACCGTCGTCAAATCGCATCTCAACGCCCAACACCCATACAGTCTTGTCGAATCCAGCACCGTCGACAAGATGCCTACCCGCCTTTCGAAGACGAGAAAAAGGTGAGTAATTCCAGTTCCCCGTCACCTAAGAGCCTGAGAGTAAAAAGGAACATCGACCGTCCTTCGACCCCATGTTTCCAATGAATATCAAGGACGGGCAGTTACGCTCTCAAACCCTTTTCAATTATCGATCGCTAATATCGTACCTATGTTTTGGTTAATTTCTTTTTAGCCGCGGTCATGTTTCCGCAGGCTACGGTCGCGTTGGCAAGCACCGCAAGCATCCCGGTGGTCGCGGTATGGCTGGTGGCCAGCACCACCACCGAACCAACCTCGACAAGTACCATCCAGGTTACTTCGGGAAGGTCGGCATGAGATACTTCCACAAGACACAGAACCAGTTCTGGAAACCTATCATAAACCTCGACAAGGTACGTTGTCGATTCTTTTTTACTTTGGGCGGATTGAAGTGGGAAGCTGGGGAAGTAGGGGAGGAAGACGAGCCGAATGGGACCCTACGGCCGGAAATACAGAGAATGGATGAATTGGATAAAGCGATACCCGCGATACGGGCGACTTATACGGAAATTGGGGCAATTGGAATATAAATGCGGAGGCTGACTGAATTTCTCTTGATGTATAGTTATGGTCCCTTATCCCCGCCGAAACCCGTGATGCGTACGTGAACAACAAGAAACCAGATACCGCCCCCGTCCTCGACCTCCTACCACTCGGCTACTCCAAGGTCCTTGGCAAGGGCAGACTCCCAGAGATCCCCGTTGTCGTCCGGGCGAGATATTTCAGCAAGGAGGCTGAGCGGAAGATCAAGGAGGCTGGTGGTGTTGCTGAGCTCGTTGCATAGATGGCTCGTTGCATAGATGCGATGCGTGTATGGGTGTGTTGCATGAGAATTATTCGATTTGGACGCAAAATATAATGAACGGGTGTTAAGGGTGGTCTTTCAATCCATGTATTTTTCTTATCTTTTTTTTGTGTCAAGACCCGTTACTTAGAGCGGTTCCGGGTTCGATACTGTTCCATGAAAGAAAAAGGAATTAAAAACTTTGTGGAATGGACCCCTTCCCCTAAAAAGAGGCCAAATTTGCTTTTATTTTGCTACACGCCGAAGTAGGAATATACCGGGCAGGAGCATTGGGGTTCCATCATGGTGCATCCCAGAACCTAAACCTCAATTCCTTTCTGTTTTCTTTTAACGATATCGAATAAAATACCATAGCCGGAATAAAAAACAGCTTCTTCTATTGTTCTAAAGGCGATGTATTTAGCCACGTCGGGCCAGGAACTATTTCGATAGTTATACGACAGCTCGATAACATGACATTGATGGATTTTGCTCCTGGGGAAATCCCGATCTAACGTATATCTATCTCAGTGTTCCCCTACTCGAGCAAATTCATTATCTACCGATGCTTCATAGCTAGGGACATAAATATTGTTCCATGGAATACTTCAAATCCAATCACCGTCGACATATCTATATGGGTGCCAATAGCGAACTAACCCAGAGGCCAGAAAACGAAGCATTCGACGTTGTTTCTTCTAAATCTTTGACGTCCGCACCTTGGGTTGCGTATTCTCCGCACCCTCCGCAAGACTCTCTCCAATGAATCGAATGGCCTGCTCCATCATGGGTGGGGTAACTTCATGCCCCGCCTCCTCATATATGAGATCCTCCAATGTCACAGCTCCATCGGCATACCAGCCTCCTGGGGAAATTGCTTTTTTTAGCCATGTTAGGAAAGGCTCGCCCCGCGCGTACGGTACCAACTTATCCTTACCACCAGAAATCAGCAATATTCTTTTCCCCTGGAGGCATCGGGTTATAAGCGGGCCGATGGTTTTCTTTTCATGGTCGGTGGGCTCAGGAAGGGTGCCATGAAGCATGGACTCCGCGACGGCGGGGTGGTTCATCTGGCTTAGGAAAAATCTAGCAGGGTCGTATTTCCTGATGGCGTCCATGAGAGACGGAGGAAAAGATTCCGAGCCGAGGAATTGAGAGCCCGGTGGTGTGGAGTCTTTCCAAGTTGATAGTTTGGAGAGTTTGGCGCGCTCGGTCATTAGGCTTGTGTAATCTGGGGTGCCGATGATAATGACCGCATTGGTGATTCTGGGTTCATGTAGGACGCAGCTCCATGCTGCATGGCCGCCGAGAGAGACACCGAGGGCGAGGTTAGTGGTGATTTTGCGCGAGGCGTCGGGAAAGGCATAGGCGTCCATGAAGTCTATTAAGAGAGAGACGTCGCGAGCGGTGCCCTCTGCAGATTTGTGTTAGTCTTAGAGTGGATCGGGTAGCATAATGGGGTGCATTTGCTATTTTATAGTTCAGATCTGGATGAAGAAGATAAGGGAAACTCTTACGAAATGTAGCAAACATATCCTGCGCATGTTTTGGATTTCCCTCCCTCCAAGCGCTGTTTGACAGCTTATCGACAAGCCTCGAGCCATGATTCCGTTGGTCAAAGGCTACAGCGATTAAGCCCTTGTTTCCCTGGTTAACGGACACTCGGCCACCGCGCAGTCTGTTGTTCCAATCTGTGATAGCATGGCACGCAAACCCTTCCATAGAATCCGCCGTGCTCAATCGTGGATGCATGAGATATAGACATGATACCTCCCTAGCATGTGCGGGAAGTTCATCCAGGCCATAGACGGCGCAATGGATGCCGGCGATTGGGAGGAACTTCTGGGAGACCTGGGGAGCAGGCGAAGCGTAGGTTTTCACCATGGGATCCATCTTATATTGCGAGGTGTGTACAAGAGAAAAGGGTTAGAAAACAATCCATAGCTGTCAAGCAACTGCATCTTCACCAGGCGATATCTTTCTTATAACCATATTGTCTCCGGCAACGCTCCTCTTTGAAGTCCGAGGTTAGAAGGAGGTCACGTGTACATGTTTCTGTATATTACAGGGAGGTTACATTACACAATACCGGGGAATTGTATTTACGATCCTATGGTTCACCAGATGGATTTAACCCAAGTGCGTGTACTAAACCTTCAGCGCACAAGTGTGGGCGCAACTTGCTGGTCCCTACTTCTGCCACAATATTTTCTGCAATTCACACGCACATAACTTAGGTAAGCTTGTCTCAAGTCATGCCGGGATCCAAGTTTTTGAGTACAGAGTAAGGAGGTTTATCATCATATCAAAGCTTCCAGACAGCTTTCTGTCTCTGGATCTTCTGTTTCTGTTCTACCTGGAAGGCCTAAGCTTCAGGTCTCGAGGGAATAATGTTAGCTATATGAACTGCCTTTACTCCTTCCGAATTACTTTAGCTCTTACTTTTAGCTGGTATGTGTCTATCGCCCTCTCCCGTTGTTTGGCCACTTAAAGAAAGATCAGAGACCCTGACAATAACCCTTGTTTGCTATTATATAGAGCCTGTCACAATGGGGGAGGACTCAACTCCATGGATGGCAGAGGGACTTCAGCAATCATCATCACTACGACGATCGAGCGTTCCGCAGAACCTCATGATTATGGTTCCCCACGATGTTTCTACAGAGGAGGCGAGCTTCACTCCCCCTTTGGATGACGAAACGCCACAATATAGCGTCTCCAAGAAAGATGCTGTCAATGGAATCAATGAGACACATGGGGTCTCCAGCAAACGAGTAGCGTTGGGCACAGGATTTGAGCCTTCCAGCTCCAGGCAGGCCGACCGTGATATTGACACTGTTGGTGATAGGGGTGTTACGGGACGCCAAGGAGACATACCCGCTCGGGCTAAGCCTGATTCCGTTCCCTCGCGAAACGCATCAGATAAATCTGTGAAGGCAAAACAGCAGAGGCCACAAGGTTCCTCAACTCCACAAGGTCGTCGGAGCGTCCAGTTCGCTCGAGCCGCTTCGGACACTGAGGGAGTGGGAGCATCACATTCAAGGACTTCCTCTATAGGGCCAGAAGATGGAGACCAATTCTCAAAAGACCGCCGCTTGCATTCGTCACTGTTTTCAAAACTGAAGGCATTCGCCGCCTCCCCTCCCTTCCCTACGCATACCCGCACTGCCAGTGGCCTAACCTTTGGAGACGAATCCGTGGAACCCAGACCACCTGGCGATACTGCTACTCCAGGATCTGAAAGAGGGGAATTCCGTTTTCCGAACACTCTTGAGGAGGAAGGAAGCGAGATGGATGCTGATGCCGAATCCAGTTCTGGGGAACAAGCGAGTGGTATCCCGAAAAGGAAGCGGAAAACTCGCAGACCACCCGGTTCGGGGTCTCATACGGCTCCTGCGACTCCGAAGTCAAGCGCGCGGTCGCATTTCCCACCAAATGCCTCCTATACACATGGCGACAATTTCTTCGGAGGCCATTTCTCTCGCAGGACTGACCCAATCGCCATGACCCCTCCGACACGTGATGGTGTTTCTGAAGACGAAGGTCGAGAAAGGCTAAAACGCGATAATATGTGGAGAAGACGAAACGGATGGCTACATAGCGCCCGCGGGTTAAGTTATAGTGGCCCAGCTCGGCCTGAAGGTCGAAGTTCTCAAGATGAGAAAAGGCTAAGTAATTTTCGACGGTTAACTGGAATTGGGGGCCAGTCAGACCATGGTGAGGGTCTTACAGCAACATGGAGACGACACAAAGGAGAACGTGGTTCAAGCCTTAGCGCCCAGAAATGGCGACAGATCAAAGCAGGACTAAAAATGATCGGGCAACGCAAAAAGGTTGAAACCACAGTAGACCACGTCAAGTCTGCCGAGCTGCTTGCGGAGCTTACCTCTGGCATCCCTGCTGCTCTTTTGTTGGCAAGTATGTTCCAAAGAGATGAGCATGGAAGCCGACGTATCCCTATTCTCCTCGAACAGCTGAAAGTTCATATCACGGACAGCAAATTCGACCCACACTCAAGTGATCGCCATTTGATCTTCCGAATAGAGCTGGAGTATGGCAGTGGGATGACACGAATGAAGTGGGTAATTAACAGAACTCTCAGGGATTTCGCCAACCTCCACATAAAGTATAAACTCCAAATTGGGACCAGGAGGTATATTCAGCTCAAAGCCCACGACTCAACGCACCCTCTTCCACATTTCCCGAGAAGCGCTTTCCCTTACCTGCGCGGTGTTCGGGGCTTGGAGAGTGAAGGGGAAGAGGAAGCAGATGAGGGAGGTTATGAAACTGCAGGGGATGGTACAAGTGGGAATGAAAGATCAACAAAGAAAAAGAAGCGACGCTCATCACTAGGACTCCCCCGGAGACGGTCGAGTTTGACTGCTCCAGCAGAGAGCATTGCCTCAGGAGCCCTGGAGCCAGGCGTTACGCGCGCTGCGTCCATCGCGGGTGTGAAAAAGGAATCGTACCCGGAGCGCCAACGGAAGAAGCTTGAGATCTATCTCCAACAAATGATCCGTTTCCTTATTTTCCGCCCTGACAGCAACAGACTTTGCAAATTTTTGGAACTTTCAGCACTGGGTGTTCGGTTGGCATCGGAGGGGAGCTATCATGGCAAGGAGGGTTTCCTCGTTATTCAGTCTTCTAAAGGACTAGATTTTCGGAAAGCACTGAATCCTTCCATGATAAAATCGCGACACTCGCCGAAGTGGTTCTTGGTACGGCATAGCTATGTCGTTTGTGTTGATTCGCCTGAAGAAATGAACATCTACGACGTCTTTTTGGTAGACCCTTTCTTCCAAATTCAGCCCCAGAAAGTACGGCTGCGTGACCAAAAACCCAAACAATTGGCTCGGTCCGCGAAGGAGTCGGCCGCACATCCACAACACCATACGCTGAAACTTCAAAACTCTGAACGTAAGCTGAGATTACTTGCTCGAAATGAGCGTCAATTGCATCAGTTTGAAGATTCGATTCGATTTATGGTGGATACCACACCTTGGTCCAAACCTAATCGATTCGATAGCTTTGCCCCCGTACGTCCGAACTGCTTCGCTCAGTGGTTGGTCGATGGCCGTGACTATATGTGGGTGGTGTCTCGCGCCATAAACCAGGCCAAGGACGTCATTTACATCCATGACTGGTGGTTGAGTCCCGAACTCTACATGCGGCGACCAGCTGCTATTAGCCAGAAATGGAGACTCGATAGATTGCTTCAGAAGAAAGCGCAGGAGGGTGTCAAGGTTTTTGTTATAATGTATCGAAACATCAACTCTGCCATCCCTATTGACTCGGAGTACTCCAAGTTTTCGTTGCTAGATTTGCATCCGAATATCTTTGTGCAAAGATCCCCCAACCAGTTTAGACAAAACACGTTTTTCTGGGCTCACCATGAAAAGCTATGCCTCGTTGACCATACCCTCGCATTTATTGGAGGCATTGATCTTTGCTTTGGGAGATGGGATACTCCACAGCATCTTCTTACAGATGATAAATTGACAGGGTTTGAACTGACTGATGTGCCTAAAGATGCCGATCATTGCCAGCTCTGGCCAGGGAAGGATTACTCGAACCCGAGAATTCAGGATTTCTATGATCTCGACAAACCGTATGAAGAAATGTATGACCGCGAGGTCATTCCTAGAATGCCATGGCATGACGTTGCCATGCATGTGGTAGGACAGCCGGCTCGTGATCTGACTAGGCACTTTGTTCAACGGTGGAATTACATTCTACGGCAACGAAAGCCAACTCGTCCAACTCCGTTCTTGCTCCCTCCGCCAGATTTTGATCCTGCGGACTTGGAATCCCTTGGTCTCGATGGCACGTGCGAGGTTCAGATTCTTCGTTCAAGCAGCACTTGGTCAACCGGAACGCCTGATGTGACTGAACACAGCATTATGAATGCATATGTTAAGTTGATTGAGCAGTCGGATCATTTCGTTTACATAGAAAACCAGTTTTTTATTACTAGTTGTGAAATTGAAGGGAAGAAGATTGAAAATCTTATTGGGGATGCTCTCGTGGAACGAATTATTAGAGCAGCTAGCAAAGGTGAAGATTGGCGGGCTGTGATCCTGATACCTCTCATGCCTGGTTTCCAAAATCAGGTTGATACGGAAGGAGGCACTAGCGTTCGTTTAATCATGCAATGTCAATATCGAAGCATATGTCGCGGAGAGACATCCATCTTTGGCCGACTTCGAGCAGCTGGTATTGAGCCGGAAGACTACATCCAATTCTTCAGCCTGAGGTCATGGGGAAAGATCGGGCCCGGGAAACATTTAGTCACAGAACAGCTGTATATCCATGCCAAGTGCATGATTGTTGATGATAGAGCTGCGATAATTGGCTCTGCTAATATCAACGAACGTTCTATGCTTGGCTCGAGAGATTCTGAGTGCGCTGCAATCGTTCGCGATACCGACATGCTGTGGTCCATCATGGGAGGAAATCCGTACCTTGTTGGCCGTTTCCCTCACACTTTTCGGATGCGGCTTATGAGAGAGCATATTGGTATAGACGTCGATGAAATTATGGAACAAGCGTTAGAAGCCGAAGCCGAAACTGGCCAAACGAATGCGCGGAGCGAACCAAACGGTCCTTATAACCATAGCGACGAGATGCTCGATCGTGATTTTGACGAGGCTACCGAAAAACAAGGCGAAAGAGAGTTATTAGAGCGAAGACACCGAATACAGGATGAATTCCTTGCTAGATCGGAGGAAATGCGCAGCTTCAACCACGATGTTGATTGGGAACAGGCGAACAACCCCAATCTTAAGAGTAACAAAAAGCTCACCCAGGACTCGAGAATAATGAGGAATGAGGACCACAAGAAGGATCTGGAGGGCCATGGAATTGACCAAATGAAGATCATTCAGGAGGCTGGTCATGGTGATGGTCGTGACTCGTTCATTGTGGATGATAGGATGGAATTCCTTGTCCCGGGATCACCTGGAGATACTCAAACCCAAAGGGGACAATCTGGAGTTCGCAAAGAACCGCCATCTCGGACTGGAGATCATACCGAGCATGGGGACGTTCCACTGCCTACAGCACAGGGCCTTGGCCCAAGCGACTCCGGCTCCAGACCGTCCACCCAACCTACGGTTCATGATTCATCAAGCAATGGTGATGATCCTTCACAGCAAGCTGCTCAGGATCATCCTAACACAACGCATTTGTTCTCGTCTGAAATAAACCGCCCCATCGTTGACAAAGACTGCATGAGGGACCCTCTGAGTGATTCCTTTTATTTGGATATTTGGCAAACCATAGCTGAAAACAACACAAAGTTGTATCGCAGTGTTTTCCGCTGCATGCCCGATAACGAGGTCAAAACATGGAAAGAATACAAAGAATATATTGCCTATGCTGAACGCTTCGCTAATATGCAGGGCCAGAGCAGCTATGAAACCAAACCCAACGAAGCCAAAACTCACCCGGAAGCTACCAAAATGACAGATCCTCCTGGCACTGCGGAGATCCCTAATTATCTTGCCAAAGCCGAAAAGATGGGAAATGATTTGAAGGAAAAGGTCCTGAATCCAGCTAAAAGTGAAACATTAGCTACCCAAGAGGAATTGAGACACTGGGCCTCAGAAGCAAACAAAGCGCAGATCGAGAGGAATAGGCTCGAACTTTCTCATCAGGAGACCGGTACATCCCAGGGAGAAAAAGACCCATTGAAGACGGTGGAGACGAAATTTTCGCAGTCTAGCCAGAATTTGGACGGCGCGACGGCATCGTTCCCTGAGGCGGAGAAGAGCCCGCAGAGACGGGTTGAAGGTAGCCTACAACCAACCGCCTCAACGTCCCAGAGGCGGAGACGGAGAGCAACGACTCGTAGTTCGCGGCGGGAATTCCATGCTTCTGACGATATTATATCGAAAATTGAAGCAGAGGAGTTGATGAATCTAGTACAAGGCCATCTCATAGTTTGGCCATATGAATGGTTAGTAGTGGTGATCTTTCACAACCGTAAAAAACAAAACATTTAGGAAAACAGCGAACTAACCCTTAGTTTCATGGCACAGGCTAGAGCGAGAAGAACAAGGAGGGAACTGGCTATACACTCTCGACCAGATATCTCCTTTGGAAATATAGTAAGCTTTCCTATTCACTTCCTTGTTTTATTACATCATTCATACTAACAGGTGGTATTACTTGTAGCAATTAATCGTTCGACTGTGTCACCACCACACATACTCGGACAATCAACACTCATTTTCTTTTCTTCTTCTCTCTTTTTCCCACGCGATTATAAACCCGTTTTAATACCTTTTCTATTTTCCATTTTGACCTGTGACACTTTTAGTAAGTACTCGGACTAACATTTCTTAGAACATTTCCCTTTAGAATATTGAATTGCATGTTTCCCTATCCTTCCCTTTTCTACCCCATTTGTAATTACGGCATTTTCTAGCTTCCATCCTCTTCTCTTCTTCGTCCTCCATGCTGCTACTACGATTGCATTTTTCCCTTTTGTTTTTTCAAAGTGTTAGGCTACATCATTTAGTAAGTTTCCCTTTTTAGCTCACCCGTCGTCTCTCTTCTTTCGCTCCTCCTGCCTCCGTTTCTAGACCATTTATTCTTTTAATTTTCGTTCACCCCACTACCCAGTTCTCACTGCACTGTATTTCATTTTCTGTTTCCTTTCGATTTACTGCCTACGCTTTTTGTCCGTTTCATTTTCATTTTTTGTTTTTCAGTTGGCATGTATACACACACTCACACAAATACATGTATATATATATATAAATTGGACTTCCTTTTTTTTTTTTTTTCTTCTTGATAGCACACTCCACCCCACTTACCAACTTGCACACCATTTAGGCTCCACCAACTCACCAACGTAAGGAAGCAATGTACTGTCGAGGAGATCTTCCTGTGGCCCGATCCAGCTGCACCGGCCAAAAAAAAAAAAAAAAAAAAAAAAAAAAAGCGCATTAATTATGCCATATATAATTTATAGCAGGAAGGAGTGCTTATGAAGCACCTAGGTGGATGAGGCTCATCCATATCGCGCTTGAGGTCACTTGTATCATTGAAGTTCCCTGATGGCTATGGAAAATAAAAGTCGTAAAAAATCCATTCCGGGGACAGTCGCTGCCAATTAAATTATCAATCAACTAAAGAAGCCAAAGGAAAACTACGTTATCCAGCTACCTATACTCCGTATGTCAGGTAGGCTGTGTTCGGGATAGGGTAGGGGGGTCGAGAAGAGAAGGAAGGCCAATTTTAGCTGGCTTGGTGAGAGTGGAATGAACATTTCTTGCACCCATCTTCTCCCCTCTCGTTGTCTTCATTTTCGCCATGGCATGATTTCAAGATTTATTGCATTGCCTTTGGGCTAATTGATGAAAAGCTCAAGGGTTTACAACTACAATCTGCAGCTACGGGTAGGTGCATGATCTTGTGTGGCGATGCATTCCTTTGTTTTAAATTGTTCGCGGGCTAATCGGAGGATCTCGTCATTACCTGCTATTATTATTATTATTATTATTATTATTATTATTATTATTATTATTATTAATTTTTTGTCCCTGTGGTAAAGGTTCTTGTTGGAATGAAGCCCAACGTTTACTATGTATCAAACGGCTGTAACATCGTTCCTCCGAAGTTGCACATGTTTTTCTTCCCCCTTTCTCCCCTCTTTGATACCTAGAATAAAACTCGATCATGGGTAGGAGAGCAAGACTCTAATCGGGTGTTGAGTGTATGGGAGTGGGCTAGTGGTCCTGGGTTGGGACCACTTGCTACACCTGACAGAAATACGCATATAAAGCTGTTCTGGTGCATTGTACGGAGTACTGTACATAAAAAGCCCGCATCATGCCGACTGGAAACTTGCATATGAAGCCATGAGACGGTACCCAGCAAGAATGACACAAGACACCCTGTGTCTAACAGTGCTCTCCCTGTGAGCATCCCGCAAATATTGTTTGTTTCTCAATTTAGACATCACTTTGAGTCTCAATAATACAAACTACACGCCTCTACTTGTCTTATTGCCGCCAAATATATACATATATATATATCAAACAGGTAGAGGTGCCATGCCTGCCATGATATGAGTTGCCTGTTCCGATTTTCGTCTTTTTTCGGCTTTCTGACGGCCGCCAGCGTCAAGTGTTGAAGACTCGGTGGGCATCAAAACAAAGAGAAGCCAGTAGGGATGATATCATTTCTCTCCTGTACGTAGTAGGTAACTAGTGGTTGACCCGCTGTAGCGGCATTTGGCCATCATTCGCAACTAACTCCGTACTTGTGCCTTCTACACAGTCCTCCCGCTAAGTTCAGAGGAGCATGTAGGAGGATGGGTTGACGCGCACATATGATATGAGAGGGAATCCCCGGCGGCTTTTTGGGTATTCTAACTTATCTCTCCGAAGATGTTAGAATTCGGGAACAGATAGCCATTCGTTGTACAGAACATCCTTTGCACTCGGGGCTGAAAAGCGTACGCAGAGTGACCAGCATGGGGGCATGTTAATCTGCAAACATCCACAAACTAGCTAGCTAGCTGACTGGCGAGGTGGAACAAGCATTGCTCATTTGCTCAGGTCGGTGGACTGCATTAGAGCACATGGAATTTCCGTAGGGGCGCGTGGTTTATGCATCTTCCGGGACTTCTAAACATCCAGCTAACACGCACCTCCGTGCAGGTATGAAGCCGTATGCTTTTTAACGGGAGACAGAGATATCGACATTCAAACATCCGTAGCGAAGAGGAAAGACGTATTCACAGTGTGGGAGCAGGATCAACAAGAGAACAAAGAAATAATATTGCGATAAACTACGATAGTGTCGTGCTTCTCGTGATTGGCAGCGCTAGGTAACCCAGGCGCCTAAACATCCACAGCTTAACAAAACAATATCCTGTCTTCCATTTCTTCTCTTTCCAAAAGTGAGAGGGTTGCTAACAATGCGGAGATGGGCATGCCAATTGTGAACGGAATATGTGTATTTTTTGGCCCATATTTGCCCCATGTTCATCGCTTTTACTATGTATAGATTAGGGTACGGAGTAAGAAACCTTGGAACTGGACACATATACGTCACGTGCGGCAGATATTCAGGGGCTTCGCAAGGAAACATTTGGAAACTTTCGGCACAGTCAATCGACTAAACTTTCTCTAGATGGAGCTTTTCTTTGCCGAAAACTGTAGTTTTGATCTTCGCTATTCTCTTCTTCCTCACAGATATTTCTTCCAAGCAAAGACGATGCTGAGGAGTGGTGGTTAAGTGACCGACAAGCGCAGTTTCAGAGCGCCGCCCATCCCAGCCTCCGGTCACAGCGACCAGTTGAGTTAGTGAGGGGACGCTACAACGCCGACTCATGTTCCTATTTTTAAACCACCACTTCCACCACTCCCACCATTCATGTTGCAGCAAAGACAGCTGAAGCATTTAGCTATCTCGCTAATTAATTAGCCTCTGTCATGGTGCTGCGCGAGCTGGCAAAGCCTGCGCCCATGTGGGGGTCCTGCCCACAACCCAGACTGAGCCCAGCTCCAACCATGAGGCAAGGGGACCCGCAACGACGTTTCATTCACCAAGTGGCGCCTATCACAATCGCACTTTAATCTCTTAGCTTATTCTCTCATTGTTGGCCCCTCGTTTAGGGTTTGGGGAAGCTAGCCGCTTGCGACCTTAGTACCTCGGGAGGCTGTTCGCATAATGCGCTGGTTTGGCCTGCGCCCCCTGTCCGTCTTCTCCAGACCCCAGCAGACCAGAAGAGGGCGTGTTATGGGTTTTTAGCCCGCTCCGCTCCTTTCAGCTGCCCGCCAATGGCAAAGATCCTTTAAGGCTGATCCGAAGATATTTTGGCATGGAAACCGGAGGGAGGGCTGTGGCATCCATGGATGGATGGGACAACCAGTGCAGCTGGTAGCCTGGTGGACCGCTCGTAGTTTGCTCCACAAGCTGCACATCATTCCTCCAGCAGCAGGCGACGAGAGCGTTATATGAGGGGAGCCTCCGTTTCCTTTTTCAATCATTCTTCTTCCATTTCATTTATCTCACCCTTCCCTCTCCCCTGTCTCTATTTAGGGGGTGTGTCCGTTCGTTCGTTCGTTCGTTCGAGGAGATTTCCCCTCTTGTCGATTTCAATAATTTTCATTTGTTGCGTCTTCTCTCCTTTTTACTTATTTGTTTTGCTGTTTTCGTTCAATCTCTTTTCTCAATAGTGCTTAAACGAAGTAATATATCTCAACGCCACTCCGACTTCTCAGGATGAGGGGCCTGGGACACATCTTCACGTCCCTGTCCCTGTTGGCAGTGGCTTCTGTGGGACTTGGCCAATCCTCCTCCAATGCTAATACATTAGAGAAACGAACAGTTGAGCCTTGCAAACAAGTGGCCGACGCATATGAGAAACAGTTCGCTGAGGATGCCAACGGTGAGCAACCTCCGTTCAATACGCTCTCCTGTGTGTGCCCCGCCTAGCCAATCACTCACTAACTACTGTGCCGCTCATTAGGTCCATTCTTTATATCTGCAAAGCTCGCCCATGACTGCTTGGTAACCGTCCCGATCAATAGAGGCGATGCTCGTCGATTAGTGGATGGCCTGACTTCGTTCTGGAAATGGCAAAGCACGATAGACTTCCTCAAGGAACCCCCGACTGGCTATCTGCTACCGGCGTCAGACCTAGTTGGTGAGCTGGCAAAGATCCGTAATAAGGTTTCTAAGGGCAAGTACAAGAATGAATTCGAGTTCCAAAGTGAGTTGGCTGCTCTGGCAAGGACGACACATGATGGCCACTTCAACTTGCAACTCGACGCCGCCAGCGTTTTCCGATTCCGCCGCAGCAGGGCTGGACCTCTTGTCTCGGCCTCGAACGATGGAAAGAGTCTCCCGAAAATCTACTCTTACTGTGAGTCAACTCATACATATAGTCTATTCAACCGCCTTTCGTAATATTTGATACTAAGCTCTTAATCCAGTCGACCTCAACACTACTGATCCCAAATTCACTCCTTCTCCGATTAAAGAGATCGATGGCCAAGATGCTGTTGAATGGCTGAAAAAACTGTCCCTCGAGGGCTCAACCCAAGATCCTGACGCGCTCTACAATGATCTTTTCTGGAACATCCCAACCGATACCAATGGAGGATATGGCGGATTCTATGGCCAATCTGGCGTCTACACAGGGCCCACTGTCACCTTCAAATTCGAAAATGGCACTGTCACCGAGTATGAGAACAGGGCATCGTTTACCGTTCCGTTTACCGATGTCGTGGATGGAGAGAGCTTCTACAAGAAATTCTGCAGCTCTAAACTTGGACTGCCATTCAAAAAGTCGAAGAGAGAAGATACTTGGAAGGCCGCCCCCATCACCCCGGAAGTGGCGCCCCGCGCTTCCGAAAACCCGCGACCCCTTTATCCCGATCCAGTTGTCGATAAGGCGGGTGGGGATCTTGCAGGCTACTTCCTTGACGGCGAATACGGCGACGTCGCTGTTTTGTCCGCCTCTTCCTTCGAAGGACAAGGTGCCAGCGGAAGTATTGCATTCCAAGATACTATTGAAAAGTTCCTGTCTGAATGCAAGAAGGCGGGAAAGAAGAAGCTGATTGTTGACGTTACCGGCAACGGAGGTGGAACGATTCTACTGGGCTATGATATGTTCAAACAGGTACGTTAGCAATAATTCTGGTCTTTGGGGTGCATTCTAGGATATATAACTGACCTATTCTTTCTAGCTCATTCCAAACGGCAAAATAGACGATGCGTTTAATATCCGCGCTCACGAACAGCTTGACATCATTGGAACCAAGGTCCAAGCCATGCTCAACGACGGGAAGGAGACCTCCGGCGACAGGAATGAGAGGGATGGCATTTACGACCTTGATTCCTACGTTGATATTGAAAACAAAAAGTTTGAATCCTGGGATGATTTTTACGGCCCTGACGAAGTGGAGGGTGGGTATAAATTCAGCCATCCGGCACGCTGGGACATGAACAACGAAGACACTAGCCGAAGAGGGTCAGGTGGAATTGTTGTAACTGGTTATTTGGACCGCGCCAACGCGGGTAGGGAAGTTTTCAAACCGGATGACATGGTCCTCCTCACTGATGGCACTTGTGGATCAACCTGCGCCCTATTCGCCAACCTGATGCAGAGGGCTGGCGTTAGAACCATTGCTGTTGGCGGACGTCCCCGCGAGGGACCTATGCAAGCTGTTGGTGGTGTTAAAGGCGCTCAAGTCCTTACCTACCAGCGAATCTACGAGACGATTTCAATGGTCTTTGAGCTCTACGCCTATCCCCAGGAAAGGCGCAAATGGGCGAGTTCTGATTTGGGCGAAATTTACCGAACCGGGAAATATATCTTGGCCCGAACTGTGCAAGATGGCCAGGGTGCCCGCGTCAATTACCGCAACGCTGTTGATCCCAAGGACGAGAAGCGAGTTCCCCTCCAGTTCGTCTACGAGGCCGCCGGTTGCCGGATCTGGCAGACGCGCGATATGGTCCTTGATATGACCAAGCTGTGGATTGCTGCCGCCGATAGAGCCTTCCGTGGAGGAGCATGTATTCCTGGATCGACCCCGAAGCCTTCGAAACACAAGG